ACTCTTATAAACATATTCATGGGGCCAGGGAAATGGCTCAGTGGCGCCGTGCCTGCCTCATAAGCACAAGATCCTGAGTTCGATCCCCAGTACTGAAAAGAAAAAAAAAAAAAAAAAAAAGAACAACAACAGAAAAACTCACCAATATAAACACAACCATTCACATTTGTTTGTCTGCAGTGCTGGGGATCAAATCTAGGACCTCCCACACGCTAGGCAAGCACTGTACCATTGAGCTGCACTCCCCCCATGCCCTCATTTACTTACTAAACACTGTATATTAGGATAGAGGGAAAAACAACACTCTACAGTGAGCATGGTGGTGCATACTTGTAATCCCAGCACTCAGAGAGGCTGAGGCAGAAAAGTTTGAGGTCCTACACAACATAGCATGTTAGCAAGACACTGTCTCAAAATAAAAATTTTAAAAGGCCTGGGGACATAGCTAAGTGCAAAGGCCCTGGGTTCAATCCTCAGTACTGAAGGGGAGCCATGTTTCAAATTTAAGAAGTCTTTTCCACAGTTGTTAAAGCTAGGTGTTATTGGGCTGGGGATTTAGCTCAGTGGTTCCAGAGCCTGCCTTGCAAGCACAAGGTCCTGAGTTCAATCCCTGGTACCAAAAAAAAAAAAAAAAAAGCTAGGTGTTACTGGGAAGAGTATCTAAAAAAATTAATCCGAAGCCTTGATAACTTTTACCACAAGGTATTAGTCTATTTAATTACTACTTTACAGTATCTATCCTTAACTTGAGCCCAGTGTCTCACCACCTGCAGAGTGAGAATTCCAGAAACACGTATGTCAAGAAAAGGTCTGGTCGGGCATCGTGGCTCATGCCTGTAATGGCAGGACTTGGGAAGCTGAGGCAGGAGAATTGCTGAGTTTGAGGCCACCCTTGGGTACAGTGAGTTCAAGGTCAGCCTGAACTACTTAGCAAGACTCTGACTCTGGAAAAAAGAAATCTGTAGAGAAAGTAGTAAAATTATGTTTTGTTTTGGTTTGATTTTTTGATATAGGGTTTCACTATGCAGCCTAGGCTGGCCTCAAATGCAGATGCTCCTACCTCAGCCTCCCCAATGCTGGGACTGCAGGGTTACACCATGACACTCAGCTAAAAATCACTATTTAGCAGAAGTCAATTAAGACCCCTACAGGCAGGGTAACAAATTGCTAATAAACAGTAGGCTAAAAAGAGATCAGTTTCAAAAAACACAGTAGAAATTTCACCATCACTAACTTTCAGATTAATGTGGCCAACAGAACCAACCTTCTGAGTAACTCACCTGACTCAGAGCTATCTGCAGTCTGAGTGTGTCCCCCACAGGGTCATGCAGTGGAAGCCTGGGCATCAGTGTGACTGCATGAGAGGTGGTGGAATCTAAGAGGTATGGCCTCACGGGAGATAATGAGGTCACTGGCTGCCCTTGGGGAGGACTGAGATAGTTCCTTCAGGACTGGGTTGGTTAGATCTAATACAGGGGGAGTACCTGTATGAGAGACCTCGCCTCACACCCACCCCCCATCTCTCTGGTTTCCTGTCTTGGCATGTGCTCTTATCCAAGTGCTCCCACCCTTTGGATGCCTTCCTGACCTTCAGTCTCCAAAACTGTTACACAAATGAGCTGCACTGATTTCTGGTGTACCCAGTCTTGGATGTTTTGTCATAGCTACAGAAATCAGACAAACACATTGCCGCATGCAGGTATATGGAAAGTGAAGAGGACATTCAGGTGAGAACATGACGCCATATCCCCATCTTCCTCCACATCACTGTCCACACTCCTTAACCTCCTTGGGGGCTTCCCTCATCCTCCACCCACACACACTGGAGTGCTCTTACTCCTGGACTCAGTCCTTCCGATCTGCACCTTTTTGTTGTTTTTGGTTTTGGGTTTTTGTTTTGTTTTGTTTTTTGTACCAGGGACTGAACTCAGGACCTTGTGCTTGTGAGGCAGGTGGTGGCACCACTGAGCTAAATCCCCGGCCCCCAACTTCATGGCTTTAAATTTATGTCTACAGTCTAGACCTCTCCTTGGAAGATGTCTTTTCCAGCTGACATCTCCATTTGGAAGTCTAATAGGCACTTCAAACTTAACATATCCAAAACAGAATAAATCACCAGCCTGAATCTTTATTAGTTGTCTTATTTCAGTAGAGAAGCTCATAATTGTTCTGGCCAAGGATCTTGGAGTCATCTTTGATCATGTTCTCCAAAAATGACCACACCATATTAACAGAATGATACAGATTCACAAAATTCATCAGCAAGTTCTATTGGTGCTCCCTTCAACATGTACTATCTAGAATATGATTCCTTCCTGCCTCTTCACCAGACACCAACACCACTCACCTCCAACAGTGAAACAGTCTACAACCTTGGCCCCTGAATCATTCACGCAACGTGGCAGCCACAAAGATCCTTCCAGAAAACATATCAGATCTCATCAGCATTCTGCAGAAAACCCTCCACAAGCTTCCCATCTCCAAAGAAAAGGCTAAAAACTGTCTATGAAGCCCTAGACCAGTGGTGGCAAACCTATGGCACATGTGCAACAGTGGGCTGTTTGTATCAGTGAAAGCTCTAAAAGGTTCACCATCATTGCCCTAGGCAATCCATGTGGCTTGCTTCCTTACCTTCTTGAGGGCTCTGTTCAAACATCACCTTCTCTGGGAGGCCTTTCCTAACCATCATATCTAAAATCATGGACTGGGAGGGATGGAGCTCAGTGGGAGGGCACAGGCCTAGATGCAGGAGGTCGTGGGGTCAAACCCCTACATACTCTACCAACCTGCTCCCATTGCCCTGGTCCCATTTCCCTGCTTTGTTTCTCTGCACAGCACCAGCATCTGACAAATGGTATCTTTTCACTGTTTCCTTATACTAGAATGTAAGCTCTCTGATGGCTGGGATCTTTTAATGCTTTGCTCATAGCTGTTCCTAACACCTAGAACACAAACTATACAGAAGCTTTCAAGATTATTTGTTGAGCTGGGTGTGGTGATGAACACTTTTAGTCCCAGTACTCTGGAAGACTGAGGTGGAAGGATCTCTAAGAGTTCAAGGCCAGCCTGGGTTACAGTGTGCGTTCAAGACCAGCCTGGAACATGACACCCAAAAACTTTTTATTAAATGAATAAGTAACACTGAAATCTTACCAGGTAACATTATTTCCTTAACATACATTATACATTATTTCCTTAACATGCCAAATACTATGAAGAGCAGAAATTCTATACAATCACACTCACACAGTACTGTAATAATACAGTTGTCTTTAAAAATGCATCAAAATCTTCCTGTTCTCTTTATGTCAGTTCTAGAAACTTTGTACTCATTTCTTCCTCAGATGTTTTTCCTCCACTGTTTTTTTTTAAATAAGAAAGTTCAAAAGTGTACTAAAATCAAATGTTTTACTGTTTACTTTTGTTAATGCTCTTTGTACCGTGCCTAGTGTTCCAGGTCACCCGGGTTTGGTGGCACACACCTGTAGTCCCAGCACTCTGGGAGACTGAAGCAGGAGGATTACAAATTCAAGCGAGCCCCGGCAACTTAGTAACAGTGAGACCCTTTCTCAAAATATAAAAAGGGCTGAATGCCTTAGGTTCTATCCGCAGTACTGCAAATAAAATAAAAAGAGTAACTCCGAGGTCATAATTATAAGATGGTTCAGCATTCACAGGAAAACAGAGAAATAAGAAAGGCTTTTTTCTGTCACTAGTCAACACCCACAGAAGTCCTCCAAGTGACCCTGATGCCACAAATGTTAAGGATGTTCAGGAAGAAAGGATCCTAGAAAAAGAAGATAATTTTTTCACCAATCTCCACAGAAGAATCGCCCCAAATTCTGCAGACCTTTTTTTTCCTAGTTCAAATCCCTTAACAAAGCCATTCTTAACATGTACAGGAAATCTCAGCTGAAGAAACAGTATGATTACATAATTACACATACAGGAAAAACCTAGTACTCTATTATCCACCTTTTCCAAACATTTTTAAACTAAAGCTAGACTTAAAGAGTTTTGTTGAAAAATGTTTTGCTGTGAGGCTGACTTAATAGAAAAAAATACTTCGTTAAAACGTGGGATGACGGCCACAGTATTTTAAGGATTAACAGTTTTGTTTATTTACCATTATTATTTAATAATGCATTCTTCCTAGTCCTCCTCCCAAAAGGCAAAGGGAAAAATTTACACCGGTGCAATCAATAGGTATGTCCAAAGAAAGATGTTCTGAAAGCCTATGACCTAAGTGTTTAGCACTGACACAGATAAAGTTCAGGTGATACATGTCACTTGTCTCACCATTTAACAAAAAAGGAAAAAAATCAAAACTCCGCTCCCACGGACGGAGGCGAGGAGAAAGAAACGGTGGGAGCCGAGGCAGTAGCCGCCTCTCCCGGCCTCCGCGCTCCACCTCTGCCCGCACTGCGCCACCGCGGGGCCCGGCGGGACGGGGCCGCTCCCGCACCGAGCCCGGGGTCGAGGCCCCGCTTCTCCCACAGGGGCCGCCCGGGCAGCGTCCACAAAGCGCCGCGCCGGGTCCCGGGCGGCCAAAGGCGCCCCGGCCCCATGACACCGCCGAGGAGACAGGGTTCCGGGGGCTATGCCGCCCTCGCGGACCGGAACCGCCGGGGTCACCGGCCGCCGCTCGAGCCCGGGCCGGGGACCCGGCGGGATCTTTCAGGCCACCCGCCTGCCGCGCGGAGAGACAACAATGTCCCGGCGTCGCCGCGCCCGGCCTTACCCGCCAGCTCGTCAGGCTCCAGCCCGCTGTCCGCGTCGACACCGCACAGCACGAAGTAGTGCGCGAAGCGGCAGGCTGCCGGGGAGGAGCCCGGGCCAGGCGCCGCGCCGCTCGCGCTCATGCCGCCGCCGCTGAGAAGCAGGCCCGCGAGGCTGAGGGCGCCGCTCCGCTCCGCCGCTCCCCGGCCTAGCGCCGCCCCGCCGCGCCCGTGGCCGCAGCCGCCGCAGGTCCGTACGGCTCAGCTCGGCGGGAGGCAGGCGCAGGGGGCGTGCCGCGGGGGAGGCCGGGCCGCGGCGTCGCCGCCGGGCCGCTGAGCGCGCAGGGCGGCGCGGGGGCGCGCGGTCGCGACGGGGACGCGCCCGGAGACGGTGGCGCGCGCGACTCTGAGGAGCTCGGGGCTCTGCGCTAGCTCCCGCCGCCCCCTCCCCCGCCCCGTCCAACAGCGGAGTCGGGCGGGCGGAGAGGCGACCAGGACAGGCGCCCTAGTCGTTTAAGGACCCGGTGAGTGAGTCGCCCCTTGCACAGCACCCTTCCCTTCTCGGGGAGTCTTGACCCGGGCGCTGGGACTCGCAGAGGACAACCCCTATGACCGTCCCTCGCCAGCTGGGGCGAAGCAGCCGGGGCCCCTCAGGGCCGCGGATCCAGGGGTCACAGGCCCTGCTGGCTCCGACGCTTCCCAGGGGGCGTCGGGAATACCCCTGTGCACATGCGGCACACCTGCTGGGGTGGACTGCGCGCAGCTGTCGGAGTGCACAGGCCCTTCTGATTCACTTACACCTCACACCACCGCCTACGGTAGCGTGGATCCTCGCTTGCTTGCTCCGCTTTTGCGAAGTCAGAATAATCAAGAAATCAGGACGAGGCACAGACTAGCAATCGACCTTTGGCTCCCGTGGCAGCCTTTGCCTTCGGCACACTATACCAACTTCGCGTCTCTCCCAGCTGCGTTGTAGTTAACGCCACGAGGCAGGAATCCTGCTTTCTGGTTCATTAAATCGCCAATATCCATAGAAATCCTGGGCCCACCTGCCCTTCACTTTGGGGTGTATTTGAGTATATCTGAGGGAGGGTGTGCATGCCTGTAATCTCAGCCACTCCAGAAGCAGAGGCAGGAGGACTGTAAATTGAGGCCAGCCTGAGTAATTTAGGGAGACCCTGTCTCAAAATTTTTAAAAAGGGATGAGGATTTAGTTCAGTGGTGGAGTGCTTGCGCAGCATATGGGAGGCCACTGAGTTCAACACCCAGTACTTCTCAAGGGGGGAGGGGTAGTCTAGGTAGTAGCAGGTTGTTGATGCTACTAGGAAAATAAACTCTAATATCTGTTACATATTTATGAACAGATGTTCGTTTATTATTACACGATTATTGCTTCTCCTCACATAGGGAGTACTTAAATGCACTAGTATTTTACTAGTGAGGATGACCATTTGTGGCGGTAGGTCCTTACAGATTATTAGATTCTAGGCTAATCAAACAAAACCAAGTAGAAAGCTTATTTACAGTTTGCTGTAATCAAGAGACGTGTTATGTTTTGCTCATTTGAATAGTAACTGATTTCTGAGCTTGTAAACCCTGCCTGCATTGTTTTAAGATGAAAAAATCAAAAGAGGCCCCCCTTTCCATTATAATGTATAAATCTCATCAAAATAGACAAAATCCCTAAGATCTTTCCTAAAGCTTTCCAAGGAATGGTCACACATTACAAGATTAAACACTAATTTGAAAATATCTGGGGTGGGGATGGTGGCACATTCCTGTAATCCCAGCACTCTGGAAGCTCAGGCAGGAGGATCACAAGTACAAGGCCAGCCTGGGCAATTTAGCAGGACCCTGTCCAAAACAAACAAACAACAAAAAACCAGTATCTGTATCAGGAAAGCCCTTCTTCCTGGGTTCTGGGTTCTGGGTTCAGCTCCATCTGTTTTTCTCAGTGCAGGTCTGGCAGCACTCACCTCAGCAGTCCAGTGGCAGACTCACATCTTGCCTTCCCCTCTCAGTGTTACAGTTTGTGTTTTTTTGTTGTTGTTTTTGGGTTTTTTGGTGCCGGGGTTTGAACTCAGGTCCTTGCGCTTGTGCAGCAGGCAGCGAAACCACTGAGCTAAATCCCCAGCCCTCAGTGTTACAGTTTGGATCTGAAATTCCCCAAAGGCCATGTGGTACTATTGGGAGGGGGATGAAACTATTGGGAGGGGGATGAAACCACTGGGAGGAGGGGCCCAGTGGAAGGGAGGAAAGGAGGCCAGTCAATGGGGACAGGCCCTGGGCATGCTGGGACCTTGGCCCCTCCTCATTCTTGCTCATCCTCCTCTGCCAAACCCCCTCCCCTGAGGTGAGAGCTGCACTCCCATTTCGATCTGCCTCACCACAGGTCCCTAATCTTGAGACATAGCATTCCTTCTTTAAGTCATTTATCTCAAGTATTTCATCACGACAGTGCAGAGTTGACTGACACACTGAGGCTGCTGCTACAGACCACCACGCCACCTAGATCACCTGGAAACCACGGGCCCAGCCTGTGTCCTTAGCAAGTACCTTTACCACTGGGAGCCAGGCAGTGTAGCCTTTGGTGGCAACATGCCTTCCAAGAGGTCTGAAATGAATTCTTTCAAGGGACAAGGCCTCCTCTCCAAAGCCCTTGGTTCCTTCCAGACCCTGTCTTGATCATCTTCTGTGTAGTGTGATTGAAACATATGGTGAAAGTTTAAATTTAAAGATTTTTTTTACAGTAAAAGGCACATTGCCATTAATCCCTTCAGATTTTCCCCCTCTCCAAACACACTTATCTCATTGTTCTTGCCGCTTTCTAAAGCAGTTTTGAAGTCCTCATTTTTGTGTTTAGTTGTGCTGCCGAGGCTGCCTGTGTCCTGAATAAATTCCAAACGCTTACCTTTCATGGTAATTTTGCTCTGGGGAAGAGCCAGAAGTTGCACAGTACCAGATCTGGTGAATGAGGTGAGTGAAAACATGCTAATGTTTTTCCATTGGATGACACTCAGCAGCAACACTCACTGTAGTTTTGATCATACATTATAAAGACATGCATGGGGCCAGGGATGTAGCTTAGCAGTGCTGTGCCTGCCTGGCAAGTACAGAGTCCTGAGTTTGATCTCTGGTACTGGAAAAGAAAAAAAAGAAAGGAAAAGAAAAGAAAAGAAAGGTGTGAAAGAGGACTCCAGAACTGCATTAGAAGGTGGCAAGAAGGATGAGAGAAGTATGTTTGAGGTGAGTATTTTCAGGGAGATTAATGACAATATGTCTTTTTTACTGTAATACTTTTTTGTTGTTGTTTTGGTACCAGGGATCGAACTCAGGACCTTGCACTTGCAAAGCAGGTGGCAGAACCACTGAGCTAAATCTGTGACCCTTACATTTTAAAAAATTTAAATATTCACTATAATTGCAACCATTCTCTGTAGATCCTTAGAGTCCCCTTTCATCCATTGTTGTTATTAACCACTGTTTACTAGCTAACAATTATATTAAATTTAACTGTTCAAATTACAGTTTCTGCCTCCTGATTGATAATATGACACACGAGTTCATGACTGGATGAATGGAGAGCTAAAGTGCTATGCTCCTACCATAGAATGCTATTCAACAGTAAAGGGGAATGAACCCCTGATGCATCCAAACAGGTGGATGGCTGTCACAAATGTGCTGAACAGGGCTGGGGATTTAGCTCAGTGGTTCCACCGTCTGCCCTGCAAGCACAAGGACCCAAGTTCGAGCCCCAGTACCAAAAAAAAAAATGTGCTGAACAAAAGATGCCAGGCACAAGGACTCTGTGGTGTGTTACTCCACTTATAGGGAATTCTAGACTTGCAAGAGGTGATTGCCTGAGGCTAGGGAGTGGTGTGGGGAGACAAAGCCAAGGACAGGGAACTGTCTAGGATGAGGAATTGATATTCTGATAGATTCACACATTCCTCAAAACCCATTGAGCTGTGTGCTTAAAGTGAATATTTTAATATAAATTATAGCTCAAAAATCTATTTAGAAGAAAAAGGCCAGAAGATTTACATCAGTTTTTAATTGTATTTTTTTTTTATTGCAGTACGGGGGATCAAACTCAGGACCTTGCACTTACAAGGCAGGTGTGGTGCTGCTAAGCTAAATCCCCAGCCTATATATTAACTTTTTTTTTTTTTTTGGTACCAGGGATCAAACTCGGGACCTTGCGCTTTTGAGGTAGGCAGGAGAACCACTGAGCTAAATTTCTGGCTCTAATTGTATCTTGTTTTTCCAAATTTTACTCTTCCTAAAGTTCTACTCATTTTAGCTGATTGACAAGAAATGAGTAAAATTCTTACAAATATCTTGTTCAGCTGGGCATGGTGGCAAACACCTGGAATTGCAGCATTCTGGGAGGCTGAGGCAGGAGGATCACAAATTCATGCCCAGCACAGGCAACTTAGTGAGATCCTGTCTCAAAATAAAAATTTTAAGAAGGGATGAGGATTAGCTCAGTGCAACGTCCCTGGATTCAATCTTTAGTACCCCCTGCAAATCTTGTTCAACTTTCATTTTTTTTCAGCTGGCAGGTTTTGAAGCAATATGGTGAGCCAGTGGAGGGTGCAGCTTCCAGAGTCCCGCTGCCCAGGTCCCTCAGTGGGCTTCAGACACACACCACACACTCAGCTTAGGCTTCTACTTTTTGTTTTTGTTTTTCATATTCTGTATTTTAAAAAATAACCAGCAGCTATAGCTTTTTGTAATTCAGAACCTTTCTTTTTTAAGTGTATGTGTTTTTCTGTGAAGATGACCAACATTGTAAACAATGGTTATCCTTATATAAATAACTCAGACTTGTAACTATTACAATGACTTGCTCTTGGTACTATTTCAAAAGACTACACATACGTTTGTATATGCATGCATTCACTTGCATGCATGAAAGTTGACTAGTCAACATTTCCTATTAAAGCCTGCTATATATTAGGCAGTGTTTTAGGGATATATCAATAAATAAAATTCTTAGAGGTCGGGGATTTAGCTCAGTGATGCCACCACCTACCTTGCAGGCGCAAGGTCCCAAGTTGGATCCCTGATACCAAAAAAAAAGTCTTAGAGGTGTAAGGCACCATACATATCTATGTAGATCCAAAATGTTCTCAAAGGTATAAATTACTGTACTTAGATAAAAATCATTGGAGGCCACTGGACAAAGCTCCTACACTAGGCCCCAACAGACCAGTTCTAAAAACTCAAATGAAGTCACTCACATTAAAGATCAGTGTCACCAAGCTGAAACCAAATCATTTAGCACACCTTCGTTAAGCACAAATGAAAACCAAGAATATAAGAATATTAGAGCAGGGCGTGGTGGCACACACTTGTTATTCCAGCTACTTTGGAAGCTGAAGCAGCAGGATTGGATGTTCAAGCCCAGCCAAGGCAACTTAACAACTAGCAAGACCCTGCCTCAAAATAAAGAGAGGGGCCGGGGATTTAGCTCAGTGGTACCGCCGCCTGCTTTGCAAGCATAAGGTCCAGAGTTCGATCTCCAGTACCCAAAAATAAGTAAAAATAAAAAATAAGAAAGGCCTGGAGATATATAGCTCAGTATTAAGGCCCTGAGTTCAATCCCAGTACCAGACACACACACAAGTAACCTAGTAGTAACTAATTAGTTGTTTTCCTATTATTCTATCACCTGTCCTGGGCCTGATAAGAAAAGTAACTTTAAGATGACCAATCTGGTTTTTGCTTTTGTTTATGCCTTCATCAGTCCTTTTCTGTCTGTAAAACCAACCTTCTCAGTACTTTGAGAAAATAAAAAAATAAAAACAATCTCTCTGCTCGATTCATTGGAAAACTCATTTTATTATTAATTTACTTATACCAGTACTGAGGATTGAACCTGGAGGTGTTCACTGGGCTACATCCTCAGCCCTTTTTTATTGTGATACAAGATCTCACTAAGTTGCCAAATTGCCCAGGCTGGACTCAAACTTGTGATTCTCCTGCCTCAGCCTCCCAGAGTGCTGGGATTGAGTACAGGCATATGCCACCACACTCAGCTAAGACCTCTTAAATCACAGAAATCTCACTTGTCTATTCTTTCTCATTTTGAATTCAGAGGCCTTGTAATTTAGTTCCTCAGCTTACTATGCATTTTAAATTATTTCAGGTATATGTATTGTCTTAATCTGTTCAGGGTAGTACAACAATATATCATACACTGGGTGGCTGGTGCCATAGAAATTTATTTCTCCCAGTGCGGAAGTGGGAAGTGTAGAATCGAGGCCCAGGCGGACTAGGGCGGGTGAGGGCTGTTCACTGGTTCACACCCCAAGCCTTCTTGCCTGTCCTTGTGTGTCCTTCCAGGGGAAGAGACGAGGGCGTCCTCGGGGCCTGTCCTAGGAGGGCACCAATCTGCTCAGAAGGCGCCCCACCCTCCTGACCTGGTCCTCCTGAGGCCATCGCCGTGGGAGTCAGGACCCAGGCATCGGAATCCTGGGAGGAGCGCAGCACGCATCTTCTCTTACCTACTGAGGCCTGGAAGTGTTCCCTTTCCGCACAGCCTCGCACCGGTTTTACGCTTCAGAAGATTGACGGAGTAAATGCATCCCTCAGCTCCCTCCACAGAGAGGTTCCTCTAAACTAAAAATAGGAGGCTCCTCGGTGCTTTTCAGTCATAATCAATGACTATGCATGAGGTGGTTATTTTAAACTCAGCAATTTAGCCACAATCCCATCATTGAGTTGGGCCTGGAATCGCAGAGGGAGGATTCAGGGTGTTTATCTGCCACAGCTGCTCAGCAGCCTCCTGCCCAAGCACGGTTTCCCTGGAACAGTGTGAGCTTATTTAATAACTTGGGGGAACATTCTGGAAAGTACCTCAATCTGTGTTAGGAAAACTACAAAAACTCCTCCCCCACCCCTCTGCAGAATTCCTCTCCCCTGTTTCCTTTCAATTTAAGACTCCAGAAAGATAATGGGAGTAAAGCCAATTTCATTGTACTGTCCGGAATAGTCATTCCTTCCAGCTTGCCCATTGTGATCAGATTCTAGCAGTCTTCAAACAAGTAGAAATTATAATCTAGTGGGTACCTATTTAAAGTAACAATTCGAGGCAACAGAGAGGGCTTCATTCTGGATACACATGTTATTAAGTAAGATTAGAGAGACCATTTATCCAGCAGTGAGCGGCAGGAGCGGGAATCAACATTTTAAGCTCCCCACTCCCATTTCTTCAAGGTCTGAGGTGGATAAAATGACATCATTTCTCTGTATTTAGCTTCTCTGTTCTTAAATTATAAACAAACTTGTTATTACTTCACAAAGTTCTGGGCTACCTAAACCTACAAGATATAACACCAAGCTCCCTAGAGAAGTTGATTTGTAAATAAATGACTCTTCACAAAAACATAATCTCGATTTAAATTGGTGCTCTAGGTCTGAAGTTGGGCCAAGTATATTTTTCAAATGTGAAATCTTACTATTGAAGGTAAGCTCTAATTCAGATTACACACTTTAATTTTTTTTCTTCCATTAGTAAATACTAGGTTGAGAGAAGTGGAGAAAGTTGAACACCTTTAACACATCTTTGCCTGATTTCCTTAACATTAATAAATATCATTAATGTGTGGCTCTTTGTGATTAAATTCTTATTATAAATATCAAAAAATAGATTTTAAAAATCACAAAATGAATAATGTTCTTTGGCCTTTAAAAATGAGTCAAGCCAGGCACGGTGTCACACACCTATAATCCTAGCATTCATTGAGGCTGAAGTAGGAGGATTGCAAATTCAAGCCCACCTTGAATTTAGTGAGAACCTGTCTCAAAAAAAAAAAAAACATAAAAAAGGCTTGAGATATACCCTAGTGGTGGACTGCCCCTGGGTTCAAAGCCCAGTACCACAAAAAATATCTAAATCAAACTATAAAATAAAATTTAAAATTAGTCAAGAAGCTTGGGGATGTAGCTCAGAGTGTATGCAAGCCACTGTATTCGGTTCCCAGCATCATTCACACACGAACAGAGTAGAGAAAAGAAATTGAAAATTTAAATTAATAATTCAAAATTCAAGCTTACCATACCCACTTAAATACTTTATAAATCTCCTTTCTATAAATATGTTAGAGTTACTTATAAACAGGATCCATTGTGTAATAATGGTTGCCAATGAAGAGTTAGGAATATCTTCCTTGGGTTATATATACTGTATAATTTATAGCTAGAAATTGGAAAGTATTGTGGAGCTCCCTTTTTGACACTGTTGTGTAAAAAGTGAGTTCTGGAGACTATCCTAAGGCAACATATGTTCAAATTATCATCAAGAGCTAACTCAATACCAGAACTTAAAATTTTTAGCTTAAATGTTACCAGAAAGTGGAGAGCTTGCTAAATTAACAGTGAATTTATAGACACTAAAATGTTGTCTGTCATGTGATGCTTTTAAAAATGTTCTCACTGGCTCCCGGCAGGCAGCAGCTAAACAAAGGTAGCAATTAATTTGACAGTGGCTGAATATTGAGGCGAAATTAGAGGGAATTATTTACCCTCATCACTGTGATTAGGAGACTAAAGAAGGCACCCAGAAGCTAGATAAAGGAGAAAGGTTAAATACATGCTGCTTTCTATATTCATCTTGAAATGCACAAATGGACAAAATCCTTTCAAGGAAAACTAAAGCAAGTGAAAACAATTTACAATCTTATATTTTGTGAGTCTGTTTTTAAATAGCAGACATAGGCTCCAGACATTGGCTAAATAGGGAAATTTTTCTAAAGCTTTTGTTATGGAAACTTCTAAATGTACACAAAATAGAATAACAAAATGATCCCATATGAACCTATTACCCACAGTCAATATTTACCAACATACGGTCAATCTACATCATTTATAACCCTCTGTTCCCACCCCCTTCACAAGATAATGTTTAACATCAACTGCTGGATTTCACTATCATATCCTGTGGCCACTAAACACTGTAGTGTATACAGCTAAGAGATACAGTCAGTAACATTAAAAAATACACAGTGTAACATTAAAAGTCTCATAATCACATAGTTTATATAGTATATTGTTGTAACAACATTTTTTCAGCTTGCATTCTATAGAGATCTGGACTTAAATGAATACCTATATATTTTCTCTCTTTTTTTTTTTTTGGTACCGGGGATCGAACTTGGGTCCTTGCACTTGCTCAGCAGGCAGCGAAACCACTGAGCTAAATCCCCAACCCACCTGTATATTTTATAACTCATATTTCTATGTTTGATAGATTGCATAGTAGATTTTCTTTTTCTTTTTTCTTTTTTCCAGTACTGGGATTTGAACCCACAGCCTTCACACTGAGCTATATCCCCAGCCTTTTTATTATTTTTTATTTTGAGACAAGGTCTCCCCCCCGTACACACACACACACACACCCCTCTATTTCTGTCTCTGTCCCTGTCCCATCACTATCTATAGTTATAGATAGATGTAGATAGATAGATCTGTATCTCTATCTGTATATGTGTCTAGTACTGGGGATTGAGCCTAGTTCTGCTTTATTTTATTTTATTTATTTATTTTTTTGCTCCTGGGGATTGAACTAGGGACCTTGTGCTTTCGAGGCAGGCAATGGAACCACTGAGCTAAATCTCCGGCCCTCTTTTATTTTTTGAGACAGGGTCTCAACTAAGTCACAAACTACCTAGGCTGGGCTCGAATTCCAGATCCTCCTGCCTCAGCCTATGAGAGTGCTGGGATTGTAAGTATGCGTTACTCAGATAAGATTAGTTGATTTTATCCAGGGGACTAGAAATGTACCAAGTTGTTTCCAGGATAAGAAACAGCAAAAGTGAAATCCAGCTTCTCTGTTTTTGAAAATAACTTCTCTAATCACAAAGAAATGATACAAGAAAAGACTTCTAGATATGCTCACCTTGATTTAATTATATAATGTATATGTGTATCAAATCATCACATAATATCTCATAATTATGTGCAACTTGTTTTTTGTTTTATTTTGAGACAGGGTCTTGCTATGTACTTCAGACTGGCCTTGAACTCACTATGTAGCCCAGGCTGGCCTTGAACTTGCAATGATCCACCTTCCTCAGCCTCCTGAGTGCTAGGATTACAGACATGCACCACCATACCTGGATAATATGTGCAATTATTGTGTCAGTAAAAGGAAGTAAGGGAGCCAGGGATTTAGCTCAGTGGCACCATGCCTGCCTGGCAAGTGCAAGGTCCTGAGTTCAATTTCCAGTACCAGGAAAAGAAAAAAGGAGGGAGGAAAGGAGAGAACAAAGAAGGAAGAGAAAATACCTTTCTGAATCGAGGATGGAAGGAGTGTATCTTGAGCTCTTTGCTAAAGCTGGGTGTCAGTTGCTTTGTGGGCTGGTGCTGCACAATGTTAAAATACTAGCAGTCCTCTTAGAAGGCTGGCAACCAACTGCTCCCCTTCTCCCTCCCCAGAAGGCTCCTGGCCAGGCCACTGCTGACTCTGGGCAGGGCTGGCCCTTCACACAGAATTCCTGTGTCTCCTCGGGGACTGCAGCCTCTGCACAGCACCGACCTGGTCGTTATATATTTTAAGTTTCATTTTTACCTGAAGCCCTTCATTATTTTCTTGTCTGTGGAGGCTGAAATGAGTTTAACTAGGGTCCCGGGATAAGTGTGGACTCCAGGTCAGACCTGGCTCACACCGAGCCCCTCTCCTGCATCCTCGGTGAACTGAGTTGGGTGTCTTGCTGTGTGAGAGATGAGGAGCTCCTTGGTGCCTGGCTGAAGTGGAGGGAGGACTAGATGAGACAGCCCTTCAGGGTCTATGCATGTACTCTCCCATCGAGAGAACTACTGACACCCTGCCAGCCTGCTCCTCACAGTTCTGAGCTTCAGCTCAGACACCACCATTCACATCTGCTGAAGCTCCTGAGCAGAACTCCAAGTGCTTGTTTTTCAAGAATGAGTATACCAAGCCAGGCATGGTGCATGACTGTAATCCCAGCTGCTAGGAAGGCTGAGGCAGCATGGTTACAAGTTCAAGGCCAGCCCGGGCAACTTAGTGAGACCCTGTCTCAGAATGAAATACAAAAAAGGCTGGGAGTGTAGCTCAGTGGTAAAGCACCCCTCAGTTCAATCCCCACTACTGGAAGAAGAAGGAAAAAAGAGAAACTATCACTTGACTGTTAACTCTTTTTTTCAATAATGTATGCCCTACCCAACCCAGTCTAGATTCAGAAGAGAAGTAAAGCCAACCACTATCAATCCATGGCTATCATCCTAGATTATCAGTCCTCAAACTCTTCATGTATGTGTGTATACGTGCGTGTGTGTATGTGTGCGTATGGTACTGGAGTTGAACCCAATGCTTTGCACTGGGCTACATCCCCAGCCAACCCACCCTTTAATTTCAAGACAGGGTTAAGTTGCTAAAATTAAGCAGTTCCTGGCTCAGCCTCCCTGAGAGATGGGATTACAGGAATATGCCACTGTGCCTGGCTTAGTCCTCAAACTGTTTGATCACAGGATCACTTTACTTTCTTGGAAACCACTGCAGACTCCAGAGACCTTTGTCCAAGTGGGTTGCGTGAATACTTATGTGAGTATTAGAAATTAGACCAGAGACAAATTAAGGACATTTATTTGTTCACTAGAAATAACGTTTATAAGATGTTAACATAATCACATAATTCTTAAAAAGTAGCCATATGGATGCTATTATAAAAGGAATTATTTCCCTAATTTCTATCTCAGTGACTCTATTTTTTGTATACAAAAAGGCTATTGTTTTTTGAGTTTTGACCTCATATCCATCTACTCTACTGAATCTGTCAATTAAGTCTAGAAGTCTTTTGGCAGAGTATTTTGGGTCTTCTATGTAAAGTATCATATCATCAGCAAATAATGACAGTTTCACTTCTTCCTTTCCTGTTTTTATTCTTTTTATTTCTTTCTCTTTTCTAATTGCTGTGGTTAATGTTTCCAGAACTATATTAAACAGGTGTGGTGATAGTGGGCATCCTTGTCTTGTTCCTGATTTTAGTGTGAAAATTTTCAGTTTTTGACCATTTAGTGTGATGTTGGCTGTTGGTTTTTCATAGATAGCCTTAATCAAGTTGAGATAAAGACCTTCTATTCCAATTTTCTGTAGGGTTTTTATCATGAATGGGTGTTGGATTTTGTCGAATGCCTTTTCTGCATCTTTTGAGATGATCATATGATTTTTGTCCTTGACTCTTTTAATATAGTGTATTACATTTATTAATTTACAAATGTTGAGCCATCCTTGCATCCTTGGGATAAATCCAACTTGGTCAGGGTGTATGATCTTCTTGATGACCCTTTGTATTCTGTTTGTCAGTATCTTGTTGAGGACTTTTGCATCGATATTCATTAGGGAGATTGGCCTGTAGTTCTCTTTTTGGGTTGTGTCTTTCCCTGGTTTTGGAATCAAAGTAATAATTGCTTCTGGGAATGAATTTGGAAGCTTTTCTTCCCTTTCAATTTCCTTGATGAGTTTAAAGAGTAATGGTGATAGTTCTTCTTTAAATGTCTTGTAGAATTCAGCAGTGAAACCATCAGGACCTGGGCCTTTCTTTTTTGGTAAATTTTTTATTACATTTTCAATTTCACTCATTGCAATTG